TCACCATGACAACTTCTTTGGGGTTCCTTTCTGCCCAATGAGGATGTTAGAAAGTTTGGCAAGTATTCACCTTGACCTAGGATTGTGGCCATTTACACGGAGTTGGTGACTCTGAGTATGGCAACCACTGTTGTCTTGTGTGCATTATATTGTTACTGCTTGCTCCTGGACGTGCACACAAGCATGCATGAGCTATGTTTTAGCCCAGGGTAGGGAGGGTCTCTGCTGGGCGGCCATTAGGATTCTAACATTTGTTCTGTGCGTGTGTTTATGTTTGCTTTTGTTTATTTGTGGCGACAATGGCTTAGCGGCCATTGGCATTCTAACAGTAACTCTGTGTGTGTGTTTGTGTTTTTGTTTGTTCAGGTAGTAGTGCAGGGAGAGCAAGAAGAAGCCCGCAGCAAGCCCGAAGGAAGGGGAATTGAAAAAAGCAGAAAATTTCTATATAATAGCCATCCCTAGCCCCGACCACCATCCCCTAGGGGAATTTTTAATTTATAGCTGCCTACCCGTGTTCTTTGTTCACGCCTTGGAAGCGCCTAACCTACTCCCCTGTGTCTGTTCACACCTGGGAGGCGCCTAACCTACGCCCCCGATGTTCTTTACTCATGCTTTGGCAGAGTCTAACCAACTCCAAATTAATCTCTGCTTCCTGCAGCCGCTGCTACTTCCCACCTCACGCGGGCTGTGTGTATATACACAACTTTAGGCTCTCACCTCGATTTAGTGGTTGTTTTCCAGCACGAGTACGCAATGAACCTCTTCTAGCTCTCGTATCTGAACCTAGACGTTAGCCCCCTGCACTGACCAATGGTGGAAATGCTCCCTTGTTAGCCCCCCCCCCCCTGCTCTGCACAATGGTGGAAATGTTCCCTTGCTGTTTCTGGTACTGTTTCAGTTGTATCCAATGTGAAAGCTGTCGTCAGAGGTGAAGGCAATACGAGAGACCAAGGATAGGAGGGCATGTCAGGTTGCCATACCCAGAAGTCAGGACAAAAAATGCACTTCAGCATCTCAAACAAATGCTGACCAGTGTTAGCATGATTGTAATGCAGCCATCCTGCGATGTGGGTGTTGGTGCTGAAGACAGGGGTTTGCCATTGGAACATGAAGGCTAAAAACACTGCACGTGTGGCTAATACCATGCACGTCACACTTAAAATGCCTAAGTTCACACATCATGCATACACCCAGAGAAGTTCAGCAATATTCTCTGTCTACTTACCTTTCTGTGGATCATCATGAGAATTGACATTTATTGGAAATCAAAGAATTAGGAGTGGTGGCGAAAGCAGTGGACACTGTGGGGAAAGTTAAAGGCACCTGTCTGCTTCTGGTGCCCACGGCTAGTAAGTCAAGATAAGTTTCAAAACGTAGCAATGAGCAAATAGAGGTCACCAGTGGCACAGTTCATGAAAATCTCCTAGCTACAAACAGCCCACAACTTCGTGAAGGATGGTGAAGAGTACATGCATGATCAGCTATTCAATGAGCGGGGTAGCAAAGAAATAGCTGAATAGTAGGCTAGGCATGTGTGTGTGCATGTGCTCGTGTATGTGCTTGTGTGTGTTCTCGTGTGTGTCCGTGCACGTGTGCGTGTGTGTTCGTTCAGGTGAAATAACTAAATGCCAACTCGAATCAACAGCAGTGAAACATTTTGACATTGCCCATGGTTACATTTCAAGTTTGCTGGCGGTGTATGCGTTACACTGCCCTACAGCAGTCGGTCATCAAATGGCCACAAGCACCTAGTAGTACACAGGGAAGAGGAAGTGAACAACGTGGGGCATTTCGTGAGTGTGTCTGACCTCAGCTTTTCTCCAAGCGCACGCAGAGTCTCTCAAACCGGGACCACAAATTCCACTCAGTGCCTGCTTGTTCGTCAGCTCCCAGGCATGAGGTCTTTTTAAATTGAAGCCAGCCAGCTACTTGTAGACGTATTCACTCATCGGCCGATTGCTTGCTGACATCAGAAACAGTAGGCCCGGTCTGGATGCGAAGTTCAGTGGCTGCAGAAGCAAAGCGAGTGTCACAGCGTTGTTATGAACTCAAAGGCTTGTCCAGCAGAGGATTGAAGTGAGCATACAATCCGGCCCCCTTAGGGGAGGGTGAGAGGGGGGGGGGAGGAGGGAGCGAGTTATCACTGGTGGGATGATCAAAACCTGGCTAAACCGGTTACACACAAGCTGTATCACAGGGGCGCACACCACTCTTGGTTAGGTCCCCGGCGTCTCACTGACGGACATCAAGAGTCACAAGTCATACACTACACATGTTGTTATGTGCTAGCCCTGCTTGTGAGCCGTTGATGAGTTTGACAATGACAACAGCACATTTACAAGATCGAGGACACAATCACGGTGTGCAGCATTGCGCCCCTTGAACTGCAACCAGAACGGTGAGTGCCTTCGATTATGCCCGCGGATCTATTTGCGCTATTCACATCACCCCATGTGAATAGGGTGAATGGATTCTGAATCGATTCCAGGGCTCATGACGCAAAAATCGAACGACTTGAATGCATGCGAATGGATTCATGAATAATTATTGATTCAAGTGCATAATCGAACGCAACCACTGACTGCGTACACTCAGATCTCCTTTATCAGGACCTGGAAGTTACAGGTCCCTCGGTCTACCGGACACCCTGTGCTCGAGTAGTAGTGGATATGTTACTACACTTTTGCCATTTGGTGGAAATAATGACGTCATCTGGCAGATCTCTGGCACTTCTCCCATGGAACGTTTGTGCTTCAGAGATATTCAGAGTTACGCGGCTATTTTAAAGTTACGGGCAATGCCCAGTCCCGGACCATCGGGATACAGTTGAGTCCGACTGTCGCGCGCCCAAGAACGCTGTTTCCAAGGGGTTAGCCTGGGACGTTCTTAGTTTTCAGCAATCTGGCTGCGTTCTTATTGCACGTTCTAAGAGGCAATGCGTACTGGATTATGTATCCCACAAGCTGCCGGAAAACAAACTCCGCCGTTCTTAGCTTTAGGCTGTGGTGTTTTCTTAGCATTTCAGGCTGGACGTTCTTGGGCTCCACGTTCTTCAGCGCACCACTCTACTGTAACTAGTGTAAGAGAGTTAGGGCGCGTTCAGACTACCGATAAAAAGTGACGGAATGGGAAAGTTTCCAAGGTAATTTGATCACGTGACGTTCCTGGCATGTTGCCGGCGGAAACGTTTTACTGCCGTGACTGCTGCGGCGGTAACTGCATTCCGGCAGTAAAAACAAAAAGAGTGCTCAGGCTGGGAAAAGGGAAAATCCCTTCTCAGCGCCACGGTGAGAGCTGCAAAACTTACGTGCCGGTAACATCAGTTTATCGGTAGTGTGAATGTCCTTCACGGTTTATCGCCTTTCACGGTTTGACGGGATTCACGGTAGTCTGAATGCGCCCTAATGAGCGTAAAGAGGGTCTTGAACAGTACTGGGACTACACGGTCCCAACTGATCCCGTGCCTGGTGTCGCAAGACCAATGACCTCAGCCCTGACAACTGGGCACGGTCAGCCTGGTAGCTAGGAGCAGTTTTATTTACAGTGCACCCTTGTACTGCATGATCTATGCAGTGTCATTTTCATAATGATGTAAGACTGTGTATGGCTCCCACAGTCACACACACACACACACACACACACACACACACACACACACACACACACACACACACACACACTCTCTCTCTCTCTCTCTCTCTCTCTCTCTCTCTCTCTCTCTCTCTCTCTCTCCCACACACACACACACGCACACACACACGCACGCACACACACACATACACACACACACACCACACACACACACGCACACACATACACCACACACACACATACACACGCACACACACTCAGTGTACAGAACTAACCGGCCGCAAATAAGTGGAGGAACTAACGCGTGTTACTTGGCATTCATCTGCTACGTGTCTGTCTTCACGGTTCACCGGCCGTTCAGTTCATCCCAAGCGAATTTCAGGACTACATGTACTACTACTACACTGGCAGACACACAAACGAAACTTACAGTTCCAAAACGTGCATGAGATACCGTAAGTCATTTCTGCTTCGTTGCATCTGTGCTATACTCTGCAAGCAGTCGACAATATTGCATTTTTTTACAACGCGGTGTCTTCAAACTCAGTGACTGGCAAAGTCACAACAACCTCAACAGGCTCGGAAGGCACTGGAGCAGATATGAAAACAGGTCCTCGACTCAGGGATAACACATTCTCTGACATACACACTCGCACGCTAGCCGTGGGGGTTTCTGCGACAGCGCCGCCTGTGCTAGTTGTAGCGGATCGTGTTCACACTTTTTGTACTTGTCACCTTTGCACCTGCCACTACTACAGTACTAGCGGAGTAGCGCACTACATGTAGGCTACACAGATTCGTACGAGTCGTACAGAACCGCGGCCAGATCTAGTACTACGAGTAGATGTCTACGTAGTAGCAGAACACCCGGATTTTTAGGACCGAAGTAATCATGGTAATCCTCCCTTGCAAGCTTGATGGGGAGTTTTGTCGTCTTCTGGTGCACCGTTGGTCATGCTGTCTGATCTTCAAGACCTTGTGGATACATATACAACAGACCCCATTGACATTGAAATGCTTCCAATTCCACAGGAAACTTGTCACTAGCGCGACCGCTCAATAGACACCGAAAATACGGTCCCCGCACGCAAATACTCGAGCTCTCACGATAACTGGATTCTGTACACACACACATGGAAGCTTGGCAAACATGCCATGTCGGTGTGCAGAAATCAAGAGGACACAACTATTACTTTGCAGATTCGATCGACGTCATAAGCGACAAGCACAACGCTCGTAACCTGGTAACGAGGGAGTAGTAAAATACACTACACCCGGCTCATAACTGTTTGGGTATTCACTATTCAACCCGGTCTCCTTTCACAATGTGAGACGGAACATCGCGCACGAACACACACACACACACATCATTGTACAGGCGTGCACACAGCAATGATGGCCACGGGTACTTCTAGTGAATGGTTATTCTTGCCATGGAGCTGGGGCGTGCAGTGGGAGGATGGCCGGCAGGGCACAACGGGCAACTCAAAAAGAGAGAAGCTTACATAAAAAAATACAGCGAACACGGACACCGTCTGGCTACAATTCTGGGGGAGCTAGGTCCAGTACTGAGGAGACACACAAAGAAAGACGATTAGGTCCAGCCTACACGGAGAAGCAAGCAGATAACGAGAGTAGAGAATGAAGTGGCACACAAAGCCTTTGCAAGGTAGTAACACCTAAGAACGACCACTAAAGCAGAAGCGCTATTGCGAAGCGGAGGAAAAAGATGAGAGCCCTGTGAGCCAGCCACAAATTGTTAGCAAGTAAAAACTGCTCTGCACCCAACGTCCATGCAGCCAAGAACCAAGAAAAAAACATTCAGAATAGAGTGCATGAGAGCACTGGATACCCTCTCCCATGATGGCAAATAAAACACTCCAGGAGGATATAGATGATGAAGAGCATGGGTGCAATTGTGGCAAGTGCCAACAGTTATATGCTGGTATTGGTGCTTGAGAAGCACGCACACCAGTCACAATACATCGTCGTCCTCCTTCAAGCCTACAACAGGACGAGTGATTGAAGCCGGAGGATGATGTTGCCAATGACGTCGATGGCAGTAAATGTGCGAAATTGCTCCTCAGCTGATCTACGTAGACATCTACAGCTCATCGCGAGCGACAGACTCGTCGTCATCGAAGCTCTCGTCGGCACCCAGACCCATGTCTTCCTCTTCACCGCCGGGAAGCTCGTCATCAGCCATACCATCGTCGGACTCGGCGTCGTCATTACCAGTGCTGCCATTGCTGTCAATGAACTGGATGAAGCCGTCCAGTGTGCGTGAACCCTTGAACTCAATGGGCTGTTCAGGACAGGAGACAAACAAAAGCACACACACGCACATATCAGCTACACTTCTTCCACCTACAGGTGTTTCCCAAACTAATGTTTTGCAAAAAATACGATGATTGCTTCCCCGGGCTAAGAAAATCGTCATTTCAAGTAAAGTATCATATCCCTACCTAATACTATCACCAGACCAGGAATGAAGCTCGCATGTGCTCCACACAAAAGCGCATGCGCACGAGTGAGAGAGAACAGGGCTTCGAAATACAACTGCGTAGCAACTGGGTATATAAGACAAGTTTGCTGAAACAACAATAGCGCCCCAAGCACATGGCGTTTTGCAGTGACAACATCAAATATAACGTACTTCTACAAAATAGACCAGATACCTAGATATCCTTTCTCCAGTGCCTTGCAGGAAACAAGCCCATTGCGCAATGACGTAATTTGTACCACGAACACCCCACACAGCCACAGAGGCATGGTCATCTGGGGTGTTGAACAGTGCACCCCTGATCCCAACGTACTCACGTGCATTACTCATGCATTCCATATTTGGCAATGCGCAATGGGCTGATTGCAAACACTAATTGTTGTGCGAGTCATGCAGTTTGCATTGCCCCCCCCCCCTCCCCGAGGAGCAGTGAGATCAATTGATTGAGAGAGGCGATGAGACACCTAAAACGCTGTTTCGTCTAAGGGGCCATTCAGCACCCCGGTCAGCCCACTGAAAGCGCCATGAAAGGTCATGAACGCAATTCAGTACTGAGTGATTACTGTGTGTGAACATGAGCCGTACTGGAGTACTTACAACGCTATTGGCTCCCTTGGGGAAGTAGTAGATGGTTGGGAAGCTCTGGACAGTGACGGCGTCAATCTCGTTGGCAGTGGAGTCCATCTTGGCTACCATGATGTCATCGTTGCTCTCGTAGTGCTCGCCGAGCTGGTCCCAGATGGGAGCAAGCTGCTTGCAGTGGCCACACCATGGAGCATCTATACACATTCACCCACACAAACAAACACAAAACACACAACCCATAGGCACCCACAGTCGGTCAGAGCAGAGACACAAGGGCAGCTAAACTAAGGAAATACTTGCACCACAAAATCTTGGGAGGTGCACCCACCCAGGTAAGCTAGCATTCAGATTCTCAAACAGCACTGACTTAGGCTGTCATCGTTTGGCCGGATCCGGATCCAAATCTATTGGATCCACTGGATCTGCAGTGATCGATTGGTCGAATTCCGATCCAGATCCCTCGGATTTGGATCCGAGCAACCCTGCCCCGGGAGCAGGGTAGACTAGATCCAACGGATCCAGTTTCGCCAAACATGACGTCTGTACGTGTTTGGCGGGTAACAATCATTGTTATACGCATTTAGTACATATGCACGTGGAAAAGCGTTGCACTATGCAGATGAGTACAACGAGTACGAATCTGGAGTAACTTTTCGAACGTGGTATCTCTACCTCAGCAATGTGTTCCAAAAATGCAGTCGATTGATTCCGAGAGATCCATTTGATCTGGGTTCTGGATCTTGAGCCGGATCCGACGAAACGATCACAGCCTTAGTACCACCCAAATATCTCCGTGAGAAAGACGAAGATAAAGAGATGTACAGCGAGCGAGCTAGAGAGAGAGAGAGAGAGAGAGAGAGAGAGAGAGAGAGAGAGAGAGAGAGAGAGAGAGAGAGAGAGAGAGAGAGAGAGAGAGAGAGAGACCAGCGCACACACATACAGCCGACTTACAGAACTCGATCATGACGGCCTTGTCACTCTCAACGACCTGCTCACGGAAGTTCTT